GGTCTGTGCAGTCTTTCTGCCTAGTCCGCCATCTTGCCGGATGCTGTTCTACCTCTCTATTAAACTGATTCTTCTTCAATAAGAACATAAGAAATTTGTTTAGTTCTCACCCACTCATCCTCAGGAAAGAAAGGAGGGCAAGAAGAGAAGAACTACTGTTTTTGCCTTCCCTTCTCAGTAAAGCTTCTCAAAGAGCAGTGAACACATGTAATTTCTTTACTTCCCAATATATTCCCAACCCATTTTCCACGTTCCTTCTTTTCCCACATTCCACTAATGGTGCTCACCCCGAGGTAACTTTCATTTTGCCAAATCCAATGACACTTAACCACTCACTCACATCTTGGGAGATCTCAGTGATTTTCATAGCTATCTACATGCTGGCAACTCCCAAGTATGTCTGTCTCCCCTGTATCCATGTTACAGGTGGCTGTGCGTAAGCACTTCAAACTCGAAATGTCTCAAATTAAGTTCATCTTCTTCCTACTTCAATTTTATGTATTTCTGCTATGTTCCCAATCTCAGCAAGTGACACTGCTATCCACTCAGTCACCCATAAACTTGAGAGTTATACAGGACTCCCCTTTTCACCTGTCTTTCCACCTCCCCCATCCATTCAACTACAATATCCTCTAACAAACATTTGATTACCCATCACCAGCTTACGAAATAACATTTTCTTGTATTTCTGTTCCTACTGTTGTTAACTTTCTAGATGTTTATCCCACACAGCAATTTTCCCTACCATTGCCCAGGTTCTGGTCCTATCTGTGCTTTGCAAGCACTATTTTGGAGGTTTGTCCATGCTTCAGTCTTTACTCCACAGCTTACAGATGAGATGATTCTACTTCTTCTTGTTAACTGTGCAGTGTGAGGCCCAGGCTCCCAAGCATGACCTGTAACCTCTCCAGGATGTGGTCCCTGCCAGTGTTTTTGGTTTCCTTTCTGATTGTCTTGCACTTTGAACCTTATGCCATAGTAACATCCAGAAGTTTATATCTTCCCATACCTACTGTAGTGTTTCACAATTCCTAGCTTTCCTTCTTGGAGTTCCTTTAGACTCTGAAGCCCTTCACCTAGCTAACTCCTACTAATCCTCGAAGACTCTGCTCCAATGTGGTTCCCTGTGGGCACGCTGTCTAGATGTCCAGTGTCCCTCCTCTGGGCTTAATAAGTCCATGGAGATAAGTGTGTCACACTGTTTTACATCTTATATTTCCAAACAATCTGTTTGTCTCTTGCCCCCCAGTAAAGGAAGATTAACTTAGCCTTTTCTACTTTTTCAGTACTTTACATGGTGGTGGTTAATAAAGGAAGTTTTTGTTAACAGACTTAAAGAACTTATGTTCTTGAAGAGAAACCATGAAAGATTTTTACATACCAATATGTATTGGATCAAAATTAGCCAGTTATTTACATTACGTATTTATCCTCAAGAATTCACTGAATCTGGGTAATTTGAACCACAGGTCCTAACTGGTGTGTTCTGGTACCTAGTGTGCCAAGTTACCAGTCTCCTCCACTTTTGGGATAGCCAAAACTATGTACTTCAGTGCTCTTATAAGTGTTATTTTTTATGTGTTCTTGGCCTGAAAAGAGGTTGGTGATGATTTAGGTCATCTCCATATAAGTACTAGGATTCTAGAAAGAAAAATTTGTAATGAACCTTGGTAATCAGCTGCTACAATAATTCAACATGTTTAATTAACTGTAAAATATTCAATAAGAAGAAACAAAATGTCAGTATCTACAAAGATATATTTTAAAACTTAAAAATTCTTTTTTCATCCTGATCATTTTAAGCTTTACTCTTTTTGTTCACTTTGCATAATTCTTTCCATATTATGAAATCAGATTAATCAACACCTCTCTCTTAGCCTACAGCTGCTGCATATTATATATTTTTGTCATCTAAAGGCTTACACCACTGTCCAATGAAAACCTTAGCCACTGTGAATTGTAATGAAGGTTTAATGATACTGTTTTGTTATGCATACTCAACTAGAATGTTCATATTCAGCCACTTCTGCAGGAATCAAAAATGTTTCACAGAATTCTTCCCAGTCTCCTGCCTATTTTGGATCGACATTCAGAACTTCCCACTTTGTGACTGTAATTTTAGAGGAGTTAAGTAGGATGCAGAACCTGAAGATGTACAGACAGTAGATACATTTCATGATACCGATGATTTTGCAAGTACAAACAATGTGTACAAAATTATCCAAGTTTGGATGTTTTTTCTTGTTGGTGATTTTAAAGGCAAGAGGGTATATTTTTTCCATTTCTTGTGATTTTTCTTCTTAGGTACATAGCACTACAGCAAAATTGACTTAATAATTTTCTAATATTAGCTGATTCAGCCTAGTAACATAACAGATAGTGAAAACACGATAATAGTGGGAATTTTCTATGGAAGTTAGCCAATTTACATGGCTTATTTTAGGTTCTCTCCCTTTCATCATTTTGGAGATGTGGGTAGTACTTACATCCGTCCAACAAATGTTGCATTGCACATCCCTTGTATTCCAACAGGTTGTTTCCAAGAGAGGGAAGGAGTACATCCTGAAGCACATTCCAAACATGCACAAAGATCAGTTTGCACTGACAGCTTCCGAGGCTCATCTTAAATACATCAAAGAGGCCGTCCGACTAGATGATGTCGCTGTTCATTACTACAGATTGTATAAGGTATAAAATGGCAAAAAATATGCAACTTTTGAGGAAAAAAAAATACCTTCTTGACTTTATTTTATTGGAAGTTATTACTTCATCTTCTAACAGGTTTTTTAAAAGAATATCATTTGAACTGCTATTTATTATACTAGATCAGTCTTGGAAGCAGTAGTGCTTTTTTTCTGGCCTGGAATCAGGATGATGTGGTATTTTTTTAAATGGTCCTAATAATGAGATTAGGCAACCTACTTCTGTAGATACTGCCTCGGAAACCCAAGGAGGGGTCGCTATGAGTCAAATTGACTTGACAGCAGTGCGTTCAATAATGAGATAACAAATGACTAAATTGTTAATCTAGCTTTTTAGTTATTTTGGAATAGTTATCTATCTCTTCCTCAAATCTGCTTTTATGCTTGGAGGAATAACATTTGCAACTTGTTTCATCCTAATTTTTTATGTTCTTCAAAGTGAAGCTGTACCTACATTGTATCCATAGATAAAAAGAATGTTACCACAACTGCTAATGTTTATTAAGTACTGTGATTATCAGGCAATGGTGCAATGGTTAAGAGTTTAGCTGTTAACTGAAGGGTTGGCAGTTGGAACCCACCAGCTGCTCTACGGAAGAAAGATGTGACAGTCTGCTTCCTTAAAGATTGTTGTTGTTGTTGTTATGTGCCGTCGAGTCGGCCCCGACTCATAGCGACCCCTCCTTGGGTTTCCAAGGCAGTATCACTATGGAAATAGGATTGCCTAACCTTCCTTCCGAGGAGTGGTTGGTGGGTTTGAACCACCAGCCTTCTGGTTAGCAGTCAAGTGCTTTAGCCACTATGCTACCAGACCTTAAAGATTACAGCCTTGTAAATTCCATGAGGGAGTTCTGTTCTGTCCTGTAAGGTTACTATGAATTAGAAGTGACATGACAGTAACCAGTAACTGGTATTTATTAGTCAACTTTTATTTTTTTAAAAATCCTCACAACAGGATTTGTAATCTTCATTTAATAGGCTAGGAAACTTAAGATTTAGGGAGGTTAAAAAATTCATCGAAGATCACAAAACTTGTTGATGGCTCAGAGCCAGTATTCAATTCAGGTCTTGACATCACTGCCTTTCTGCTTAAACCACACCACTTGGCTCCCACTCTGAAGTTTACTACTCTGTTTTTTGTCTTGTTTGTCATCTGGCTTCCTATTTCCATCCTGCATTGGAGATCACACACAATAACAACTTGGGTTGGGCTCTGCAGGGAATCACTCAAGCTACAATTTATTGTCATCTTGTCTTCCTTTCCCCTTCCTCCTCCTCACTCCCCATTCTTATCCCACAAGTAGTCCCATTTCATTGGTAAGAAGTCTTGAATTCCTGCTTTTAAGCACTCAAAGGTACGTTGTCAAACCAAATGAGAAATCAAGATCTTGGTCTATTGGTCTTGAATGCCTGGAATTGAATTCCAGCTTTGCTCTGTGACTTTAGGCAAATTACTTGACCTCTCTATGCCTCAGTTTCCCCATATGGAAGCAGTAATATACTTACGTTTTAGAATTATTGAAGACTGAAGGAGTTAATGGATGAAAAGTACTTAAAACAGTGCCCAGCACATGTTAAACATGATGTACTTGCTGCTGTTACTACTACAGCTACTACAATGATGATGCTTGCTATCTCCACTATCCTCTTTATAGTGAGATTAGCATAACTAGACCATGGGAAACTAGACTGTGCTTTGGATATATTGGTAGACAGTCTTCCTGGCTGGTTCAGAAAACTTTAAAGGCCCAAGAGATGCATTGCTAAAGCCCTGTCATCCTTGAAAGGCATTTTTGAGTTCCATAAGATCTCTTTGGCTAAATTCCTAAAGGACAGAGGGTTTTTGTTTTTGTTTTTACTTTGAGATGTTTCATTTGTGACTCTGTTCATATACCTCAATTTATGGTGTATATGTATTATGAGAAAATGCAAAGAAATGACATTTTGACAATCAGTTTATATTTTAAAATGGGTTAGAAATCTGAATACTATATTGAGAAAAATGTGGTTTTGAAATCAGATATCAATTAGAAACCCTAGGTTACTATCACTATCATTGGGATCCTAGGCAAATATAACTATAATCCTAGGCCATCTATTAAGTGAGAATGATAGCAGACACTTTACAAGGTTGGGAGGATTCAATGAGATAATGAATCTGAAATAACTAAGTGGTATGCCTGGCACATTAGTGAATGCTCAATAAATATCAATTGCCTATTGCTTTATTTGCTAGGGGAGGTTGCTATTCTAAAGAACCCTATTAAGAAATAGATTGCCCCATTTCCTTCCACAGCATAGCTGGTGGGTTTGAACTGCCAACCTTCTGTTAGCAGCAAATACCTTAGGCACTGTACCACAGAGCACCTTAAGGAATCCTTTAGTGAAGTATATATACTCCTACCACACACGTACAACCAGGATTTTTATGAGCACAATCTTATTTCCGGAAGCAGTCAGCACGGCTCTGAAAGGGAAATTGGCCTAAACTCATACAGTGATGGATTGGTTTCTCCTGTTAAACCTATACTGTGTGTATCTTTCTTGTAAAAATATATTAGTTGGAAAAACCAGCCCATATAGTGAAAATAGGCTATAGCTTCTCACACACTGTACCAGGTGTGGGTGCATTTTCTAAAAATATTTCTTTCTATGTTCTTGGGAAAACTGGCACTAAACGTAATAAAGATGTATATATAGTCATTTATTGTTTTTATTAAGAAATTTCATAATGAAAAAATAAGTTACCAGGTAATTTTAGTTATCTTCTATATTGAAATCCATGACTACTCCTTCACTCATTATAGATGAATACTTAAAAGACATGACCAAAATCATAAAAAAAGACAGACTTACTGGTCTGATAGAAACTTTTAAAACCCCTGAGACTATAGCCCCTAGTCATTCTTCAAGCCTGGAATTGAACTTATTTTCAAGGCTTCTATCCAAACAATAGCCAGGCATATAAGGCAAATATTTACACCACGTAGCTACACTCCTTAGAACTGTCAACCATAGGAGATCAGAAGGGCAGTGTTTGCACAAGGAGATAGCTCAGAGAGCAGGAATGCATAGGAAAAAAGGACACGCGGAAAGGGTAATCAAGGAAGGAAGTGGGACGAGAGCTGTTACATTATGGGGATTGCAGTCAATGCCAAGAAACAAAATGCGTATGAACTGCTGTATGGAAAATGTATTTTTGTAAACTTTCACCCAAATCACAATTTAAAAAAAAAAGTGACCGCATTTAAGAGTGCATTTCTGTGGAATGTTTTTCCTTATATTCCTAGTAGTCTGTACTTGTTATGGATTATGATTTAGTTGGTAGAAAATATATCATATTGTTGTTGTTGTTGCTGCTATATGCTGTTAAGTCGGATCCGACTCATAGCGACCCCTCCTTGGGTTTCCGAGGCAGTATCACTACAGAAGTAGATTGCCCAACCTTCCTTCCGAGGAGTATTGGCAAATGATAATTGAACCTCTTAAAAAAAGTTTTTTTTTTTTCCAAACTAACTGAATATAAAGCTTTTTAAAGCTTTCTTTTCTATGTTCATGAGAGAGCCTTAAATGTTTTAGTAACCTGGCTCTAATTTTGGCTTCAGAGTTGGGATATTTACCCAGTTTTAGACATATAAAGTCTAGTGCATCTCAGAATACAACAGTGACATTAGATTAAAGATTCTGACCTCTAAGAAAAGATCATACATTATTAGATGGAAGGTTTTTAAAAATCCAATGATGCAAAAGCAGTAAAAATCATCTTGTTTACTAGAGTTCTCAATAATATAAGTAGAATATTGTCAGACATGAAAATATTTATAATATAGTGAAAACACTGATACTTTGAAATATCCAGTATTTTCAAATTAAAATACACCGTTATTGATGTAATATGTGCTCATGGCCTTAAATCTTGTGGAAAAGTAGAGATGTGGAAAGACTTGGTTATTTTAAGTCAAAAACTTTCCAGTCCTGTCTTTTTGGTTCTTTGTAAAAGAAAAATATTCTTTTTCATAAAATTTTATTCCTACAGGATAAAAGAGAAATTGAAGCTTCACTGACCCTTGGATTGACAATGCGGGGAATACAGATTTTTCAGGTTGGTAAATGGAAAATAAATGACAAATGGTACAAACCATATTTTACATTTATAGTGGGCCTGTGTGGTTCTGCTGTAGGTTAAATGGTTCATTTCTGGCCATTGATGGGCCATTACTTCTTATTTGTCTAGCAGAGCAGATGATATGGGTTGAATGAAGTGAGTCAGTCTGATTCTAGACAGTAATAAATTCTCTATAACAGAAAATTAAGCCAAAGAATAGCCCAGGTTCATCACTAACAGATCACTAAAAGACCACCAATATCCAAGCATTTTCCTTTCTAAGTGTCAGTGATTGTAAATAGTTTCCTTTATCCTCTGGAGTATCCATAACTGTGGGGGGGGGGGCGGGAAATTGCATTTATTATAGTACCTAACTAGACATTTTAATTTCTGTTACTTTTCTGATAAAACTTGTTCCCTGCATAAGTAGTAGTTGCCTTTTGCAGTGGGATTGTGTTATCCTACAGCCATCAACAGGGGGTAGAGACTCTCTCTGCAGACACAGAATATAAGGATATCTTACCTTTGATGTAGGCTAGATATCCAATTATGAAAGGCTGGGTGTTTTATCTTATCACTCTAATGTTCAAGTCTTCCGGACTTTTTATTTAAATTTAGAAATGGGCCAAAAGGGAAAGATTGCCTTAGAAAGGGCCAGTTAATGCAGCCACTCAGGAACCAGAAGGTATAGAATTATATTCACTGATCTTTTAATTACTGTCTGTACTTCTCCAAAGAGAGTTAGGGATCATTTTCAGATTTTAATTACTGTATTGTAGTTTTCTAGGAGAGAAGTGAGAGCAGTTTAGAGTCTGTCAATTTTCCCGGTAACTCTATATGCATTGTAATTCTTTCCACAGAATTTAGATGAAGAAAAACAATTACTTTATGATTTCCCCTGGACAAATGTTGGAAAGTTGGTGTTTGTGGTAAGTCCAGTAACTGACTAACAAGAGTGACTCATTAGTTACTTGTTTTTGTGAACTTCTGTAATTACTTTAGTTTGTTTTTATTGAATAATATTGTCCCAAGCACAAAAGTTGATGTTTTAAAAAAGATGAAATTGAAGGTAATTACCTTCAATTCTTGTATTCTTATGCATGTATTATAATCCTTATCATTCATATCAGTAACGAGCTTAAAATCAAAGAACCTTATAGCAGAAGAAATGATTAATTTGTGTATCTGGCCCCCATCGTAATACTTTGATTTATTCCAGTTGCAGAAGAAATGTGGTGGGAAAAGTCCAAGATGAGTTCATCAATTAGAATTATTTAAAAAACCTTCAGCGGAGGGAATAGAAAACAGAAAGCTGTAATCAGACATCAATTACTCTTAGTGTGGGAGTTGGCCACTTCTGCAAGTTACTTTTGAGCAAAGAATAAATAATGATATAAAAAGGTGTTTCTGTTATTATCTATTTGAAACTCCTCATTATAAAGAAGTTCTGCAGTTCTTAACTGGAAAAGTACTTTTATTTTTAGAATAGTGAGAATGATACATTTTCTTTTATTAGAGCAAATTCTTGACTTTTTCCCCCAGGTGTTTGTCTACCTTGCCAAATATATCCATTTTTTTGGTAAGGTTCTAAAGATAAGAATTTGAACATGTGTGTTTCTCTCCTGTAAGGAAGATGACCTATATAAATAAGAGAGTATATTGCCAAGTAGAATGTGGGCACTGACTCCACACTTCCTGTGAGTCAAAAGACCTGTCTCTGACTTCACATTACTTTAATTACTTAGGTGCAATTCAATCTGATTTTACTTTACTCACACATTAAATGGGACTTTACCTACCTCCTCCTCACTGGCTCGCTCTTGTTCAAGCTCTTTGTGAAAGGATCAGAGCTCCTTGAAACTCAGCAAAGTATAACCCTACTTACCTTTTCATATCCCAAATTAAGAATTAATAAAATGGAATTTTGAAATTGAGTTTTTTAAGGTCCTGGACACAGTGGTTCCTGAATCAAGTTGAATCATCTGAGGACTTGTTTAAGATACATATTTCTGGGCCTCGTCTTCCTACACTAAGAGATTTTTGATTCAGAGGGTCTGGAGTGACACCAAGAATCTGTTTTGACAAGGTTCCCAGATGATTCTTGCAGCCATCCAGCTCTGCCTGACTGTGTGCCCTTGGGCAAGTTATTTAACCTCTCTGTGCCTTGGTTTCTTTGTTCTAAAACAAGAATAATCAACTTCTCCCCCATAAACTTAATGTGAGGATTAAATGAGTTGATATACACTTACTGCTTAGTTATTACAATTCTCACATTTGAGACCCTCTGGTGAGTCCTTTAAGGAGCTCTGGTGGTATAGTGGGTAAGGCATTTGTTTGCTAACCAGAAAGTCAGTGGTTCAAACCCACCAGGTGCTCTGCAAAAGGAAGATGAAGCAATCTACTTCCATAAAGATGTACAGCCTTGGAAGCCCCACGGGGGTGGCTATGGTCAGAATCAACTCAATGGCAGTGGGTTTGGTTATTTTTGTTTTTTATTTTGTTTGGTGAGTCCTTTAAAATAAAAAACGCAGAGATACAAAATCCCATCCCTATCTGGGTTATACAGAGCCATGTTTCTTTGTATGGACTTTGAGGTGTGTAGTTAGAAATATGCCTCCCTCTGAGCCTTATCTCTCCCCTCCGGCTAAAAATCATTCCATCTGGAATATTTCTTTTTGTAATCCTATTGCCCTATTCACTATTAGCAAAGTTAAAGGCATATCTCATGACTATTAGGAGCTTTGCCACACTTTTACCCTCAACTTAGAAATTTATGTTAATGATACCAGATTTAAGTTAAGAATAAAATGGAATTACTTACATCTCTACTAATAGCAGTTTTTCTCTTTCTCACTTCATCCCTGCAATAGTCCCTTTAGTTTTCAGCTCCTTCTTTTTGCTGGCTAGAAAAGTTTCCCGTTTTCACTTAACCCCACTTAACCCCAAATTAGGTGTTCTATATTGTTCACTATCATAACTCCTTATTTATTTCCTTTTCAGAATTTATCATAAACTATACTTACTTTATGTGTTTATATACTGTCTTCCTTACCAGGATATAGCTCCATGAGGATAAGGACCTTGTCTGTCTTATTCACTGTTATTTTGTCAGCACTTAGCCCAGTGTTTAGCATATAATGAGTGTTTCAATAAATATTTGGGTACATTAATCCCTTCTAGAATTTCTGTCCTCTTGTTTGCTGATTTAGGGTGTAAGGGTTACATTTAAGGATGCTTTCATATGGGCCCTTTCCTTCTCCATCATGCAAATGGCCTGACTGGCAAGACACACCACAGACACTCGTCAACTGTCTTACACTCAGTGTTTACCAGAATTTTTGGTAATCCTTGGTCCTGTGACATTTTTGAAAGGGAAAACAATGATTTATCCCTCAGGGAATTTTAAATACAGCCTTGTACAGCTATTTCTAAGTCTATGGTTTTCCTACTAAATAGACAACAAAGGGGATCTTGAAAATCAGAGATGTATCCTTCTGAATTTGATTCATGCTGTCTCTGCACAGGGTAAGAAATTTGAGATTTTGCCAGATGGCTTGCCCTCAGCCAGGAAACTCATCTACTACACGGGGTGCCCCATGCGCTCCAGACACCTCCTGCAACTCCTGAGCAACAGCCATCGCCTCTACATGAATCTGCAGCCTGTCCTGCGCCATATTCGGAAGCTGGAGGAGAACGAAGGTATCACAGACTTTCGGGTTAGGGGACAGAGTGGTGCATTTGGCACCCATAAACCAAGGCTTTTGGCTCCTGAAGAATGGGATTTGTGAACTGGGTTGTTCCATATTCAGAGCATTGTATCATTGACATCTCAGTACTGCCCAGAAAGGCAAAAATGGGCTTAAGGCCCACCTACTGAAGCACCTATTCAAAACATCTGCAGTTACCCCAGTCGTTTAGCTACCCTTGGGGCACAATCCTTTTAAAGTTTCCCTACGCTTGGCTTGAAAATCCTTGCAAAAAGCTACCACATGAAGGTGTAAGCCAAGGATACAATGCTATCTGCATCTTAGAGCTCTGTATATACCCCTACTTACTTTGGAGCTGTTGTCCACAGGGAGACTGGAATTCCTTCCAATATGATTATTCCTTAGGTTAGAGTGACCATAGAAGCTGGTCCCAGAAGTGTCTTCAGCCTCTATGATTGACAGTTGGGAGCCCACCAAGTCTGGCCCAGGCGGAATGACAGAGGAATTTTTCATTTGAGGATAGAATCAGCCAGTCCTGTGGGAGCTCTGCTGAGACAGACAATATAGAGCAGCCCAAAAAAATGCTGTGTCATTTGGGGCCCCAGAGTCCTGCACCCAGAAAAGGGTGGCAAGTCACAGCAGGGAAGAGGAAGGCGGGAATAGGAATCTTTTAAGGTCAGACTTTTGGCAATTTTACAATATTAGCTTAATGGTCAGCCCTTTATCTTGAGTGCGACACCTTGGGATTACTTGATGTGATCCACTTCAAATTCCAATCCCCAAAAAATACTATACAGCATATTTATTTATTTTTAAATGCCTTCAGTTTGTTTCATACATTAATTTTTTAGTAATTCTGGAAATTAGACTCCTATGGTAGTTAGATTAGATTTGGGGTATTTATGTGAGCATCAGGATGCGATTCATATCTTAGGTCCATGTCTGAAACAAGTTTTGACCTGTCAGACCCCAACTGTCCTGCAGAGAATAGTCCTCTTACACAAACAGAAAACCTTATGAAGGTATATGCATCTGATTGGTTTCTCTCCAAAGCTGTCTCTTAATCTAGATGAGACCCCATTTGGTGATCCCATCATAATTTAAGTAGCAAAGAGAACATGAATCATTCTCCACTGTCTGCCATCAGACTGTGTCTGTCTTCTGAGAGAATTGGTTTAACTGTCAGGTGTATTGGCTTTTGCTGTGCCATACTGTCAGTTCTTCCCCACAGTGACTCATCAGAATAACAAATATATCTCCCAATGCTGACATGGATATTAAAAGGAATTCAGATGGAGACAGAAGCACCAAGAAAACATGTGACAATAGGTAACTAGTTAGGTGCAGAGCCCATCATTTGGCAGGTCTACCTCATTCCTAAATGGTCAGTTCGGCATCTTGAGAAGTTCATATATTCTATCAGCTCTCTGCTAGCAGCATTGTAGTAAATTCTTGTTTAGATGACCTTAAGGGGAGCCTTTTAGAACCTGAAGGAATTAACGAACCACCTATATATTCTAAGGTAAAGTTACAAAGAATTTTGAATTCTTAAGAGGACATGGCTTTGTCTATTGCCAAGTGTATTTGTATGTCCAGTGTCAAGTATATTTGGGGACTTAGATGAATAACAGAGCTTCCAGACTGAGACAGACTCAGAAGAAGGAAGAGGCCATCCACTTCTCAAAGAATGGGATGGTGAAACACTGTCTGATATATGACAGGATAACTTTCTGAATAGCCTTGAAACATTGTCCAATAGAGTGCTGGAAGATGAACCCCTCAGGTTGGAAAGGTTGGAAGGCACTCAAAATATGACTGGGTTAGAGCTGACTCATCAGAGTAGAACCAACCTTAATGATATGGATAAAGTAGAGCTTTCAGATCTTACATTTGCTGATATGGCATGACTCAGCATGAGAAAAAACAGCTATAAATATCCATTAATAATTGGAACATGGAATGTACAATGTATGAATCTAGGAAAATTGGAAGTTGTCAAAAATGAAATGGAATGCATAAAGATTGATATTCTAGGCATTGTTGTTGTTGTTATGTGCCATCAAGTTGGACCCGACTCACAGCGACCCCTCTTTGGGTTTCCGAGGCAGTATCACTATGGAAGTAGATTGCCCAACCTTCCTTCCAAGGAGTGGCTGGTGGGTTTGAACCGCCAGCCTCCTGATTAGCAGTCACGTGCCTTAGACACTATGCTACCAGAGCTCCCATTGTAGCATTAGTGAGCTGAAATGGACCAGTTTGGGCCATTTTGAATCAGACAACCATATGATCTACTGTGCCAGGAATGACAAACTGAAGAGCAATTCATCATCACAAAGAATGTTTCAAAATCTATCCTGAAGTGTGATGCTATTAGTGATAGGGTAATATCCGTACGCCTACAAGGAAGACCAGTTAATACTACTATTATTCAAATTTACACACCAACCACCAAAGCCAAAGATGAGGAAACTGAAGATTTTTACCAACTTCTGCAATCTGAAATTAACCAAACATGCAATCAAGATGTGCTGATTATCACTAGTGATAAGAATGCAAAAGTTGGAAACAAAGAAGAAACATTGGTACTTGGAAAATTTGGTCTTGGTAATAGAAATAATGCTGGAGATCGCATGACAGAATTTTGCGAGACCAATGACTTATTCATTGCAAATATCTGTTTTCAGCAACACAAATGGTGGCTATACATGGGAACCTCAGCAGATGAAGTGCACAGGAATCAGACTGACTATATCTGTGGCAGGAGGAGATGGGAAAGCTCGGTATCTTCAGCCAAAACAAGGCCAGGAGCTGATTGTGAAACAGACCATCAACTGCTAATATGCAAGTTCAAGTTGAAGAAAATTAAAACAAGTCCAAAAGAGTCAAAATATGACCTTGAATAGATTCCTCCTGAATATAGAGACCATCTAAAGAATATATTTGATGCATTGAAACCAGTGACCAAAAACCAGAGGAATTGTGTGGGATGACATCAAGAGCATCATCTGTGAAGAAAGCAAAAGGTCATTAAAAAAGACAAGAAAGGAAGAAAAGACCAAAATAGATGTCAGAAGAGACTCTGAAACTTGCCCTTGAATGAAGAGTAGTTAAAGCAAATGGAAGAACTGACAAGATAAAAGAGCTGAACAGAAGATTTCAAAGAGCAGCTTGAGGATACAAAATCAATTACTATAATGAAATGTGCAAACACATGGAGTTGGAAAGCCAAAAGGGAAGAACACACTTGGCATTTCTCAAGTTGTAAGAACTGAAGAAAAAATTTAAGCCTTGAGTTGCAATATTGAAAGATTCTATGGGCAATATGTTGAATGATGCAGGAAACATCAAAAGAAGATAGAAGGAATATAAAGTTACTGTACCAAAAAGAACGGGTTGATGTTCATCCATTTCAGGAGATGGCATTTGAGCAAGAACCAAAGGTACTGAAGGAAGAAGT